GTGCTGTGATTTTTCTACTGATAAAACGATTGAATCAGTGTCAATACTGAGAAATCTCGTTTTATAGAAAGAAGTAATCGCAGGGTACTTACAAGGGGAAAAAAACAAGCTTGTTTTAATTTTATCTTTTCATAGTAATTTTGTTTGTAATCCATTCGTAAATAAATGACATACTACCAGGAGTGGCTCTCGTGCTTTGATTCACGATGCTATAACAAAACTGTGCGACCGAGCAACAGAAGTCGAATTACGTTTGCGAATGGATTCTGTTAGTTTATACGATGTTGAGGAAATGTTGAAAGTTGTGAGACGAGAAAAAGATTTATTGGTTGGTCTGGGTCGTTCGATGCATGGTACCATATTTACCTTACTTCAGCCATTGCTCACCTAATCGTTATTTGTTCCCAACTATCTTTATCAAATACGGGTTTTTTTCCTATGATCTTAAAATTGTATTATGTTATGTTCAAACTTTCTAATCTTTTGTATAATTCAAATTTGTTCAATAATTGCGCATTAAATAAATTCCCTTCTTATAAATCTGGAGAAGCATGCCAATTTTCAGATTTTTAATGCATACGGTACCTAATACAATTCTCTTCCTATAATTGTGAATTGTAGGCTTTTGATATTTGACCCTTCCAAATTATCTGTGTTTTATTTGAAACGAAACTGAAACAATTTGAATAGGGGATATTTTATGTTTGGCATAATTTGTGTCTTTTGAATTTTGTAATCTGTAGTTGTTGCTCTCTTTGTGAGAATGCATTTGCTGATCAAACATTCTATTAACAGATATCTTTTCTTCGAATTGAAAAAATCTGAAATTACCTGCTTATGGTATGCATCAAACGACTTTTAAAAACAGTATTAATCATATTCAAATGATTGAGATACATTTTTTTTACCTTGCAAATGAATGGCTTAATAATTTAGGAAGCTAAAATTAGCTCCCTAAATTATTAAGCCATTCATTTGCAAAAAAAAATGTTTGAAAAAAGTTGTTGAAAAAATAAGGAAAATAAATTGACAAGATATGTAAGGGATGATTTAGTATGCAATTTAGTTTGGTGGATGTTGCGATTTATCATTTATACATTTCACTTATTTATGTTTTATTTATGACTAATTAAAATTTCAGGTTTATCCTAAAAATTACATTTAAAATCAAAAAGACAAAAGCAAATACCATAGTAACTATAATGGCGTTTCTTGCGTACTCAAATATTCAAAAACTTAGAAATAACTTATTTTAAGTGATTTTCAAACAATTCAAGTTTCAAGTGTCTGAGCAAATAAAATTTGCATAAGAGACTAAATCGGTATTTTAATTGTAATAAAGCAACACAATGTATTTGAAATGTATTTATATTCTACAGAGAAAAAAGTTTTTTATTTGGGGGCGATTAATGGGAATGCTAAATTTAATATGGGATTGCAGCTCTTGAAATACGGCAGAAGAAAGTTAGGAAAGATCAATGCAAATAGCGGCGATGAGTCATGCATTTTAATTATTGAAATTATGATATCATTGTTTTTAGTAATATTCGTGATAATTTTTTTTAATTTTTAACCTGAAACTTATTAAAAATGCTGCATTTTTGCTTTCAGTTGGCATTTGCAATTTTTTATTTAAACTTTTCAATAACTTGAAAATTTGTTCAAATTAAAAAACTGAAAGCTTAAAAAAGTGACTGAAATTGAGGTTTTCGAATTTTTGGTGCATTCAACTCTTAAACGAAATTTTCTTACCATAGTGCGAAGTCAGTTGAAAATGATGGAAAAAACTTCATAAAACGAACTGAGCAACAAATTGTGAAATATGTTCTTCAATTTATGTGAAAAATGCGCTGCCGTAAAAGAAGTCATTTTCTAATTCTTAATTAATGCTCTTAAAAATTTATTTAATAACCCTGCTGCACCGAGAAATCTTAATATCTGATTCAAAGTGTTAGTTTTTGCAACAACGGTTAATTAAGTGATTGATAATTATCAGAAAAAAAACGGCATTTTTGTTGAATCTTTTTTTCTTATATGACCTCTCATTATTATGATCATCATATCGTCATTATCATCATCATCATCATCACATTCATTTATTCATTTCTTCAATGTCATTTTAACAGACATGAGTTATATAATTCAGTTAATTATAAACTAAAAATTAAGCAGCAGTAGTTCCATTTAAAGCGTTGCACTTGAAATTATTGGAGATTTATTTGTATTATTCATAAACTTGTCATCCATTTCGGGATTGCTACACTTTGCTGTTGTATTACTATTATAATATTGCAACTATTAGTAGTAATAGTAATAGTAATAGCAATGATATTAGTAATAATGATATTGGTACTGTTAATATTGGCAGTTCAATTGGCAGTTCAACCTTTTTTTGCGCCAACAATAAATTTTCTCAATTGCATTAGCTATAATTCTTTTTGACTCCACCCCAGCAACTATTAAACTTCCTCAGTTTTCAATTTATTTGAAACATCGGACCATCAGTTCAACATCTGTTTAATTTGGGTTATCTTTGAGTATTTCGGCTCAATTTATGCCATAATATCTTTTCATCTACGTATTGCTAAGCTAACAACAGGCGCCACTAACGTATTCTTCAGTCTAATTCTATTTGTCAATGCTACAAAGTATCGAATAACACTAATGATTGCTACTTCGAACAGATGTTTATCACTGCTTTTTTTACTAACCCTATCACTCATACATATCATTAAGGTTTGCTTTTTGCACTTCAAAACAAAAACTTTTCGTAAGCTCAAGACAAAACAAATTATTGTTATTATTACATGACAATAATAAATAATAATAATATTACTAATAATAAAAAGAAATAATAGTAACAAATAATAAATAATAATAATGATTATAATAAATAATAAAAAATAATAATAATAAATAATAATAATTAATAATAAAAAATAATAAATAGCAATAATAATAATAATAACGTAATATACAATAAATATGATGAATTTATATTCATATTTTATTTTTAATTATTTCAATAAAGCAATTATTGCCATTCATTTTTCCTATAAGAAAAGAAAGCTATGATGTGATGATGTCATTGAATTCAATGCCTACATATTGAACATATTCAATTGGCAAACTTCAGAAAACAAAGAAAGGAATTCTAAAAAGTTTAAAACTTAATTTGCTTAGTTAAAATTATATCGAATTATTGGATTTCGTATTTAATTCATTTTTATTCAAATTATATGCATAATTAATATTGTGTGGAAACAAAAGCTTAGTAAACATTTCTTTAAATTTTGTTATAATTGAAATTTCGGTTTATATTATTGCTAACTATAAAAAAATCATTCGTTATTTGTTTCCTTTTACTTTTTCCTAAAATAATTTCTTGCCATTTCTTTCGTTAAACTTTAAAAGGCATAATTCATTTTTTTGGCTATTATAGAACGGAAATAATTTCAAATGTGAAAGAGAGAAATTCGCATCGTATCAGATATTTCCATCCGATACGATGCATATTTTGAAATGATTTTCAATATATAAAGCCAAAAAGAAAAAAAGAATTAATTATCCTATATTAATCAAATTATTCAAAAAATTATATTTGAGATCTGTGCAAATTTAAATTTTTCGAAATTTTTATTTAAACTTTTCGATAACTCAAAAATTTTTATGAAATTGAGAGCCTAAAATACGAAGAAAAAGATTTAAAAAAAGAATGAAATTGAGAATGTTTTATTCATATGAAAAAAAAATTAGTAAAATTTTAAATTTGACAAATTTAATTCTTAAATGGATTAATTACTTCTTTATAAATGAAATTAAGAATTTCAAAATGGAACCATCGTTGTAAGCGTTAAAAGAAGTTGATGAAGAGCAGAGGAATTTAAATTTCTTATTATTTGTAGTTGAGAATAATAATGGAAACATTTGAAGTTAAAAGAATTAATTAATAATAATTTGCAAATGTAAGAAAAAATGGCTTACAAAAGTTAGCTTTGTCTAATTATCCCTAATATATCGTTAAGGGAATACAAATTTTCTTTTGAAAAAAATTGATATTACGCAAAATGCTTTTTAAGTAACAATAGAATTTCCAAAATTGTTAAAATTTAACTCAGTATTATTTAGAAATTTTTAAAATGTTCCAATTAATTTTGATAAAAAGAATTCTTTATGCTAAAAATATTATTGTGTTTTATTACATTTTACCTATATGATAACTATTATATATGATAACTATATATTTTACCTATATGATAACTTTATTATATTTTACCTATATGAATAACTTTTTATATAAAACTTTCAATTATTTAATTATTCATTTTTTTTATTAATTCAATAAAGTCTTTTGTAATTAATCAAAAATTACTGTCGTTTAGAGTAGTAAACAGGTATGATAGAAATAGTTTATTTGATAATGGAATTAGCTAAGAAAATTATGGTGAAATTTGATTGATTACAAATTTATAAATCTCTCAATATGAAGCATACAGATAACCTGAACAATTTCAAATTTAAGTATAGAGATAATTGCTTATTTGTTATCACTAGATATGCCTTATCATTTATCAATAATGTTCACTAATTATGATTCATTGTAAAATTTCATATCCATTGAATTCTTCATTAATTATAATGAAATTTTTACAAAAATAATTTTTTTTTGTCAAAATAGGTATCATAAATTTATATTTGATTATTTTTGCTGACATGACAGATAATCATTTCAGTGAAATATGATGAATGAATATTCTCATAATAAAAAAGTATTTCATTTCAACATTTCACAATAGATGTAATGATAAATAAATTTGTAAAAGTGCAGCAATAATTCAGAGAATAAAAATTTTGAAAATTTTTTGAGAAAGTATGAAGTTAATATAAATAATAAAAATTAATATTTGCAGTGTTGTGATCTTCCACCTGATCTGTGGTGTGATAGTTATGAATCGGCGAAACGTTGCAGTGTAAGACAACAATGTGATCAATTTCGAAAAATGAAATTACCAATGAAGCTAAGTTTGTTCTATGAAGCATTATGTCCATATTGTCAAAATTTTATTGCAAATCATCTTGGCAATATTTACAATCAATTTCGCGGATTTATTGAACTTGAAATGATACCATGGGGAAATTCAAAATTATTCCAAGTAAGTACTGTTAAAATTAATTTATTAGTTTCCAGTTTATAATGCCTTTCAAAGTTCTTCAACATCTAAAATTTCAACAAATTCTATTATAATCCAACAAATAATAAAATTTATTTTATTTTTCTTATTTACTATTGGACAAACTTTTAGTTTAATATTGAATTGATATTTACATAATGAATCATCCGAGTTAAAATTCGCATGATTCATTATATAAATATCAAATCAATATTAGACTTTCTATTATCTTTCGCAACAATGCCATTTAAGTGTGCGAAAATATTGTATGAAAATGATAACAGCAAAAGGCATTGCTAGTTTGTAATTTAAAAAAGTTTTGAAAATTTTTAGAGCCATACAGATCAGCCAGCTGCAATGCAAATAAATCATTCCATTGTTCTGAATAATGATTAGGAAGATTTGACTCGCAGCCTCCCTCTTAATTTCTCCTTAACTCTTTTCAAATTTACTCATAAATTATCATTCTATAGTTTTCCAAATTTGAAATTCATATATCATTCGTTCTGTTGAAAGGAAGTTAGCAAATTTTCAAAATTTTACAAGAAAAGAAAGGGAAAAGAAAAACTAGTGATTAAAAATGTAAATTTAAAATTTGTTAAATACACTTTTAAAAAACATCAGTTATAATATTAATTGTAATATTCGGTGAAAATTAACAAAGTTTCGAGAATTGAATAAATAAGGAAAAAATAATACTAAAAAATGTAAATGTAAAATATGTCAATGAAACAATACTAAAAAGTTATTTTTTTAAATATTATTAATGAATTAATTGAATATTTGTTTAGTAAAGTTTATTAATGAATTAATTGAATATTCATTTAGCAAAGTTTGTTAATAAATTAATTGAATATCCAATTAGTAAATCACATGCTGTAAGTGATATCGATATTTTCTTGTATTCAATTAGTGATAAAATTCCATCAAATTTAATAAAGCTTTGAATTATTTTTCAATTTTAATAAATATTATATTTGAAAATTAAAATATAGAATGTACAATAATATTCCTTTGCTATTAAATTATTGTTTTGTCTTTTTTATTTCACTAATATCTTTTATAGTCACAAAGAAACGATTGCAAAATATTTCATTCAAAGATAACTAACAAATATCAGACTTTTTCAATAATAATTTGATTTGTGTATAAAAATGAAATACACAAACAGAGAAAAATGAATTATTGATAATTCTAACAATTTGCAAATCTCATTTTATTTTTTGAAAAGCTTTTAATTAATGGAAAAGATTCGTTTTTATAATCTGATTGAAAACTTTAGAATGGTACCATACGATGTAATCATGGATCAATTGAATGTGATGCTAATAAATTACAAAGTTGTGTCTTGGAATATGCAAAAATGAAACATGCCTTGGCTTTTATCATTTGTTTCGAACGATCTCTTACGGATCTCAATGTGGAATCAGCATTTCAACACTGTTCCGGTTTCATTCGTAATCATTATAGACGAATCAGGTTCTTTTTTTTCGCTTTTCCGAAATTAAAAAATAAAAAAAAGCTTTAAAACATTAGAATGAAAAGTTTCTCAACTTTTTACAATATTTAATTGAATTGAACACGTTCTGCACCTAATTCTATCATTATGAAAATAAAATCACTCAAATTATCATATTTCTAATCATTCATTATTTAAAAACAACAAAGTAAAAAAAAACTTTTTAAATTTGTAGACGGTGTTACGATTCAGAACGTGGCATACAATTGCAACGAAAAGCATTCCATCGCACAATGTCCGCTAAACCAAATCGTATATCAGAAGTACCATATCTGCTTATTAATGAATATAGTCCAAATCCGGATTCCAATAATTTGGATATACATGCTTTGCAATTATTGTTAAAGAAATGGAAGCGTATACCTCGTGATTATTTAATTAAATGATTTCATTTTTAAGGAAATCATTTAATTACTTTTTGAGTTCCACTGAAATATTTAGCAACTAGGCATTGACATTTTCAAAAACACTCTGTTTACGATAACATGAATTATTGAATATTACAAGAATTCTGATTAAATTAGTTAATTTAACTTAAATAGGCTTGAAAATAAGCTGATATTTCAGGCTTATCAGACTTATTACATGCGCATATTGCCAAATACTTTTATTGAAGCTTTTCCCTCTCCCATCTTCTAGTATAACAATTTCTTTTTGAAATGAAAACTTATAATGACTGCGAGATAGTCATAAGTCTGTTGATTGATGGGAGACTTTGTCTATGATATCTTGCTAATATTCATAAGCAAGTTAAATGATGTATCGATTCAAAAAAAGATTTTTTTTCTGTTTTAAAGATCGCTTTGTAAACAAAACTGATTCCACTGATATACAACAATGATAAAGTGAAATAATTAAAGATCAAAGAAAACTATTCAGTAACCGACGAAAGTTGAAAATATAAGAAGTCCCACATACGAATATGTAACTTGTCAACTTGTCAACACTCCTTCCTTCCAAACTAATTATTCAGTACATCTAAAATATGCTCTACATAGGTAAAAAAAACTTAGAAAACTCTCACATATTAGATATTATTACAAGAATGATGAAGCTTACAAAAACGTCATAGAAGCAAAAAGTATATAAAGAAACAATTATAGCAGAATTTGATATCAATGAACAGCTTCAAACAGCAGTAAGACGTTCAGAAAAACCATGTTTTGCCATCCAGTTTTCAATTCTCAAGAGAGTAGCATCACATTCAGCTTTTTGTGCTAGAAGCTCATCTATGTTTTCGCAATGCAAATATTTCTCCTGAATTTTGATTAACTCCTGCAACCGATGAAATCTCTCTTCGGCAGCAGCTACCTCAGCTTTTAGCTTTTGGTTTTGTGACACCTGAAAAGATAAGATTTAAAAAAATTAAACCCAAAAATTCTTTACTTTTAACATCCTAATTCATTTCAAAAAAATAAATAAATAATAAGAACCTGTAATTCAGCCTTTTTCTGTAAAGCAGGTCTCATTGCCAGAGCAATTTCGATAGATGATGGGACATCTCTGGCACCCAAGTACTCAATGCGTACTTCTTCTACGCGTTTTGGACTAAGTACAATCGGCTTATTCATTTCACTGAAAGTATACTTATTCAGAGATTTTCAATTTTCCTAAGTTCCAAGAACCAAAAATATTCTTCCAAATGATTATTCAGTTATTACCATTTCTCATTATTTCCTCAATTTCGTAATCTCACTAACTGATCTATAGAATAGAAAAAGGCAAAAAGGCTTCAAACTTCACGATGTTAAAAAAAAGTAATAACATTATCAAAACAATCCACATAATTTCACAGGTTTTGACGCCTTCGACTATTACTCAAATGTTGCTGCAAATCGGTTAGATCTAAGAATTGAGTTTATGAAATTGCAAACCTCTTTGCAATATCGGCACTCTTATCATAGTTCTGAAGCATTTCATTCCACTGTTTTTTTTCATTTTTCAATTTCTTCATATATTTTATCAAATGTTCCCTCTCTTCATCCACAGCAGCTATTTTTACAGACATAAAGGAAGAATTCTTTTCATTTACTTTAGTTATGTCGTCCCCAATAATCACGTTTTTCTAGAAAATATTTGTAACTCCCAAAAGATGAAAAATTCAAGATCATGAGCATCAATGTATATGCATGACTTACCAACGCTAAAATACGTCTAACGTGCTACTAATTAAAAAATCATATCAAATCTGTTTTCTAGGTTAGAAAAATTTTAAATAAAAATGCAGTTTATCAGTCATCTGAAAATGTGGAATTGAGAATTAGACTTGGCGCTCGAAATTTAAGTAGAAAACTGTTTGTAAAATAACGACAAGAGAAAAATTGCTTCTATATGTTCATGTGCTGCAATAAAAGCACTAAGAACAATTCTAAAGACTTAAATTGCTTTTATTACCATAAGACTTCAATGCCATTATAAATTTGGAGAATTTCCCGAAAGTACAAAATTTGAAAATTAAATGAACTTAAAAAAATGATAACCAGTGCTGTAGCAAATGTTGTGCTTCAACTTCCAAACTTTTTCAAAACTGAACTTACAGTAATTTCAATGCCGTTTACAACTTCTTTTACAGACATACTTGAACGTCGACCACGAAGGGAACGCCTTTTATCACTAGCCTGAAAATAACGTACACGGTGGTTAATTAGATAGAATCTTGCAATAGTATGGCTGATATTAAATTATCAAATATTGTTAATGAAGATAACAATAACGAGCACAATCGAAAGTGATGATAATAATATTTAGAATGATAGTAGTGACAAAAGATAAAATAAGTTGTCTCAAAGCTAAAGATTACACCAAAATGTTTTTTCCCCTCAGAGCATTATTTTCCACATAAAATTCTTACTTCACTGCTAGCAGTGCTTAATCTGGACGACCGATGATTCCGTATTGATGATCGCAAAGTTGATGAATCATCCTCCAATTCCATCTGAAGCATTAAATTTTTGCATAAATTTTAGATATTTCAATAAAACTGCTGATAATAATAATAACAGCACGTAAAAATGAGAGATGGAGGGATGCGAAGAAAAAGACGACAGAGTTAAATAAATTGTAAGTAATATTGAATGGAAATAAAAATAAGGATGGTGAGGATGCCAACCGGCACGTTTCTTAGTTTGCAGTCATTTTACACTGATACCGGAAGCATCGACTCGATCAACAATAATATTATAATAAATTGGCATGAGTTAGGGTGGCGTTACTGGTAAGATATTTATAACGTATCACTTTCAGTTTTATGTTATCACAGATAATAACAATTAATTCGAACGACGTCTCCAATAAACACACGTCCAGGTCATACTGCTAATTAGCTGTGATAACATAAAACTGAAGTGATATGTTATAAATTGGTAACAATGTATATAAACATTGTGAACAATCTTTCCATAATTTCAAGCAACATTTGTCTAATAGAGTTAGAAAGGAAGATATAGTGAAAGTTAAAGATTGACAATCAATTTGAGAGATAAAAGAAATAATAGACATTATTCAATATTACAGTTAATTAGCAAATATAGTGAAGAAATGGGAATATCAATAGAGCCGAAAATGCATATAAGAAAAAACAGCACAGCTATTGTAGAGACGGAATGGATTGAACGGACTTATACAATGAAATTCTTCTGCTATATTGATAAAACACTCAAATAACTAAGCATCCCAACTAGAGTAAAATTTGGGTTGTTTGGCTATTTCATCGCTTTTTAAGCTTTGTTGTCAACGACATTTTATAACAAAAAAAAATATTTAAATCTCCCGCAACAAAATTTCTAATTTTCCTGGTTGGGTTTAAATTCGAGTGGCTATTTTAATGATTTCATAAGTGTCGATGGTTTATCCGAGAGGCAGGAGAGTAAGTTGGCGAGATATTTGTGCATCGGTAATTTTACCTGAGAGCTAGAATGATGCTTCTGTTTCTATAATTAATCTCAATCAAAATGTCCATTTCTCAACTTGCCCAAAGTCCATCTTACTTAGAGGTAGATAAATTTGTGATAAGTCCATTCAGTAATTCTATGACAGCACTAGATTGTCATTAAAGTAGTTCTATGTCTTTGATAGCACCATTCGGCACTTCATTTTTTGCGTTTCATGGAAAAGATGCATTTGATCTTTTATTTGCCCTAATATAAATGATTTTCAGATATTTAGATTCATATTTCATATCACTGCAGAAGTGAGCAGTGATCAAACTGAACTATTAGAAAATGTCGGAAAGAGTTGAAGCATATTTAATGAAAAACAAAAGTACTTCTCATGAAATTGTTGCTGATATTTGGCAAAAGCTCGAACAACTCTACTTCAAAAAGTAAGTAGGTTTTGTCGTTTCGGAACACTATTTGTAATATACTGAGATCTGAAATAGGTCGCTAAAAGGTTGCAAATTTTATGGTTTATGTAACCTTTTTCGGTGAAAGACTTCAAGATCATTGTCTTTTTTGTTGAAGAAGTATTTTTCAATTACTAGAAAGTTCAAAAAGGTCCATATAGATCGAATTAATAAGTTAGTATGTCAGTAGCGGAACTGCTAGATTTCCTTTTCTGAAGTCAACAAATGGAATAAATTTATTTTTATCGCAACTTTTTTAAATCTAACTCGATATCTCTGAATTATTATAATAATGGCTATATGTTTTTTTTTGATTAATTTTCCGATTGCATTTGTTCAGGAGCAAATGTAATTTCTTTACTAGATAATCTTCCCATTACTTTCCAATTTTTAAACAAAATTACGAACCAAGTTAGTCTCGAGGCTTCAAATTTTCATAGCGTCTTTGCAAGTTATGCAAAATTGATTTTTTAGGCTTTGGCATCAATTAACTGTGGAATTGCGAAAAGTTATAAATGATGACGGATTTATTCAAACGATTGATTTGAAGGATTTTTATGACAATTTTATCAATGAATTTGAGCATCGAATAAATCCTTTGCAGCTTGTTGAAATTATCATTCCAGTTGCAAAATCAATTTTTATAAAAAGTAAGGAATTTTGTTATTCGTAAACATAATCATGCTTCAATGGATATGTAGATTCTGCTCAGTACTTTGTATGCTATTATCACTAGAAGAGTATTCATAATAATTAGCAAATCTTTTCATTCCCTTCCAAATATTAGTCGATAGAAAGCAGTTGAGTGTAACTAGGAATGAATTATGTCTGTACTCTGGAATATTTTTTTATATATCGGCAAACACAATGAGATGAATGAAACTGCGAAAGTTTAATGTGATGAAACTCAGACAAAGATATTCTTTAATACTTGTTCTGAACCACTAATATTATTATAAACCGTTACGACATCGAAATGATTTTAATGATGAAGTCTAAAATATTGTAGAATATTCGATGCAATTAATAAATCTGTTTATTACAGACAGAGATGCCGCATTTGCGTTTCTGAATAAAATTGAGAGGACAATTTCGAAAGACAAACAAGCAGTAGTGCGTGTGCGAACGGGACAGATTGAATTACGTCTGATGCATAAGGACTCTAAAGATCGTTGCGTCGATATTCAAATTGTGAGGGTACTAATTACGTGTCTTCCGTCTTATTCGATTTACTTCTGTGTTGTTGTGAAACTGCACAAATAGTTTCGTATACATTAGTAAGAAAATTATTTGATTGTTCTCTTGCCATTATAAGGGTTTCGTTGTTTTTCAGAAAATGATTGAAGAAACTCAAGTGCTGCTGGACGAATTGCCCGGAGTTACACCAGTGCATGGATCCTTTTATAAGGTTTCTAGATACCCTCTTTTAGAAATAAAAGGTCCCTTCCATAAGAAGAACTGAAATCTACAGATTCGGCTGCAGTCCACTGGTAAAAATATCTTTTCATATTCACTTTGGAAAATGTGAAAAAATTTCAGGTTTCGTCTGTTTATCTGAAGGAAATTGGCAATTACGCTGGCTATTATCGCGAAGCTTTACGTTATTTAGGTTGTGAAGATCAGACAAAGTTATCGCAATCCGAGAAACAACTGCAAGCAGTGTTATTGGGATTTGCAGCGCTATTGGGCGATAATGTTTACAATTTTGGTGAATTGGTAGTGTTTTTTCCCAATAAATTTTCATCTTTTTTTTCATTTATCTACAATCGCATGTTACTTCTGTTCCTTTCTCGCCTTTCACCTTTCCTTTTATGCTAAATATATTGTACTGTGACGAATATCGTTCAAACCTCCCCCAAACACCCAACTCCTTTCTGTAATGTGATTAATACAATGTAAAATGAGCTTTAGAACAGATAAATTGTAGGGTAATAAAAATTTTTTTATATGTTGTGAACATACATTCTTTTTCTTATAATAAATATGATTTTGTTGAAGCTGGCACATCCGATTCTGAAATCGCTGGAAGGGACTCGCGAAAAATGGATCATTGATGTATTGTATGCTTTCAATGCTGGTGATCTCAATAAATTTAACGAGTATCGTCCACAGTGGGCCGAATGGGATGATCTTAAGGATCATCAAGATCTTCTGGAAGATAAAATTCGCTTATTGAGTTTGATGGAGGTAATTAGTTGTTTAATGTTGTTTTACGCCTTGTTTTTTTTTTGACTTCATAACTGTGAATTCAGTTATATAACGTGTACATGCTTATTTAATTTTGAACCTCGAAACATCATTTATGAAATTTGCAGATTGCTTTGGCTCGTCCCTCGAAAGAACGGTATATTCCATTTAAAGAAATTGCTGACAAAGCCCATATTGATCTAAATAAAGTCGAGGCTTTGGTAATGAGGGCGTTGAGCAAGGGGCTGGTGCAGGGTTCAATTGATCAAGTGGAGGAACTAGTTAATATTACGTGGGTACAACCGAGAGTACTTTCTCCGCAACAGGTGTTTTCGCCTTTTTCTCAAACTTCTGTTTTCCGAGTTTTACTGTAAGCTGAGCATTTAGCATTTTGTCTCCTAAAGTTTCTCGGCTTTCAAAATCTTTTGATTTCTTCGTGAGTTTTAATTATTTATAGTTGCTCTTAGAAACTCAATTCTTTATACTTAAAATATATACTCTAGCTTAGTGAAATCTCAAATGGAATTGACCACCGAAACTTTTCTGACAAAGGATCGACACTGCTAGCTGGTCGAATCTAGCGTTTTAATTTATTTAATATTTATAAATCAGATTCTGGCGATGAGCGATCGCATTGGCGCTTGGTGTGCTGAAGTTGAAGGGATGGAAGCGATTGTTCGTAATAACGCCAGAGAAATACTGACAAAAACGTGATCCTAACTGTTGTTGATTAATTTATACTATTATTAAGACCTGGGATAATAAATATGAGAAGTCTTGCAGTCAGAAATTTCATTTTTTTTAATTTCAATTTGAAAGACTGCTCAAATGGTTTTTCAGTGTCATAGGCATTAACTTCATGCAAAAGTTCTGTCATTTCTTGAAATCTTAAGCAGAAATATGGATGATCATAATATTCTGAGTGAATCGAGGGGTACCGGGAACTTTCAAGTTAACGCGTAGTTATTGTTTTTAGAAATTTTAGTAAAACATTCAGTGCTCCCGCGATTCCACATACATGGATGGTCTGAGTTCATGAATTTCTAAGCAGCGAAAGATTAACGAATTTGTCAACGTTTGAAAAATTAGAGACGATTACTTATGTATAGCAATTCGCTCAATAGTACGACTGACAAGCTTAAATGAAAACCAACTACATGAAATAATTATTCCGGTTAGATCATTGACAAGATCATCCAAAGATTGAAGCAATAACAAAGAAATGCTCATATATTTGCCTTGTCCTTTCTTTCCATTCTTTCTTCGTCTTCGTTTTTCTTTCTTCGTATATTTGACTTGTCCTTTCCTTCTAATTAAATTTTATAAAAAACAATAAGGCTTTCAAAACTTTCGTATTAAATATGAAGAGAAATATTTCAGGGACGTCGTAATTATATATTTATAAA